CAAACAAAAAAAACAAAAAAAAAAAAAAAAAAAAAAAAAAAAAAAACTCGAGCCTTAATACAGTGGATACCATTGTTGTATTTTAAGAGTTTTAATAGAGAGGCAGAAATGAAGGGGAAGAGAAAAAAGATAAATATGGGAAATAAAATCTCTCTTCTGTTACAATATTGTAAATGTGATTTCCTTGGTTTCTGTGTTACACTGACTTACTTGATTTTTTTCTAGTTTTGTTTTGTTTTTCAGTGCAAGTGAGGTGATGTATTTCTTTGTGACATGGGTTACTCACAATACTCTACACTCTTGACTCAGCCTCCCTGGTCCTGTGATTACCAGTATTAAGCTACCATACCAAGCCTCTACATGTTTGTTTGTTTTTTTTAAATCATGAAAACGTAAATGACATTAAAAAGAGAAAATAAATAAGAAAACTTATAATTTTGCCAAACTAATGACTTGTTAGTATATAATCATTTAATGATAAACACATTTCCATTACTTCAGTCATCACGTCGACTTTCAGACCTTTATTCATCTCAAATAGAAACAAACCTACACAATTACAAGTTTGATTGTTATAGATGACTACTAACTTGCATTTTTAATTACTTTAAATAGTTTAAAATAATAGCATTCAAGAACTAGAAATTAGCAAGATGGTGATTGGGCACACATTTAATCCCAACACTCAGGGGGCAGAGGCAAGTCCCAGGACAGGCCCCAAAGCTTCTTGGAAAAACCCTGTCTTGAAAAAAAAAAACTTAGAAATTTACATTACATTGTTAAATTGGGTACATAGGTACAATACCTTAAACAGCAATAGAAGTACATAATCAGTATAAGAAAATATCCTTAAATTTTTATCAGTATACAAAAATAATACATACCAATGTAAAACATTTAAGACTAGTAGTTGCTTTTTCAGTTTACAAGTAGATTCAAAAATCTATCCTTTTATCCTATCCTATCATTTCAATATCCCTCTTTTTTTCTTTTGAGAATGAGATCCTTGTCTAATCTTCTTTGCTAGGCCTTATTCCTAAACCATGACCAACAACAACTTGTAATTAGCCCTCCTAAGTGATGCTTAACATACATAGTCAATTGAATGACTGTAACCCATTTATCCTACTTCTTTGAACTATGGGCGTCATGTTCTCTATACTGCTTCCTGTTGTCTGGGGGTTTCAGCATCTACAGTTAATTCTGAGAAAATTGGGACAATGGTCAAGTCTTGGGTTGGGGGCCAGCCTCGACAAAATTACCTTTCTTCCAGAATGGAGGTGTGAATTTAGAAATACAGTAAGAAATACAAAGATGTGAACAGAAACAATAAAACGCAGAAACATTGGATTGTATCGGGAGGGAATTTCAGTGAGTACTGAAAATTCATTCTGGTTTAGTTTCCAACAGCTTAATATACCCCTGATTTCAAAAGGTAGGAGTAGAACAAAAGGAATATATTAACATACAAATTGAAAGTCACCAGGCACAGTCCTCACTTCAGCCCTTGACCTAAGTGCTGTAGGCACTTCCTGGGTGGAATTCCAAATTACTTTTATAAAGGGAACTGGAACTTAGTTGGATCCTTAGACTTTTGTTTTAGGTAGGAACCAACTACTTCCCTATTTCTTGAGCACAAGGTGTGGCAGCTAGGCACACCTGTTAACAAGAACCTTGAGAGAGTAGAACTCTGGTTTACAAGTAGGTGGGACCTTTGTTTGAGTTAGAAACACAATAATCTCTAACTAAAAACCAAGTCCCAAATTCTGTTCTGTGGCCTCTTTGGGCCTCCTCAGTCCTGGGAGAGCTAGTTGAATTATTTTTTGTCTACTCTTTCTGTGTGATGAGAAAATGTAGAGCTCATCTGAAGTTTTGGCTGGATAGTCTATGATGCTGGACCATTTTAGCTAGCAGCTACGAAGTTGGTCTTGATACAGAATTTTTGGGAAATGACAACAGAGGCATTCTGAGATGCTGGATCACCTGGGCTACTTGTCTTTATTGGTAGCTGTTTGTGTTTCTGAAAACACAAACATTTAAAGGCAACATATATAGTTGTATTAACACAGGTATGGAACCTGTTGTGTGTACAATACAGCAAAAGATAAATTTTTTGTTCTCTGTAACCGGAGACAGCTCATTCCTTTCCTGACTGCTCAGACCTGAATAATCACACAGAAGTTATATTAATTACTACACTGTTCAGCCAATGATTCAGGCTTATTTCTAGCTAGCTCTTACATTTTGAATTAACCCATTTCTATTAATCTATGTATCGGCACAAGAGTGTGGCTTACTGGTAAGGATCCAGCATCTGTCTCCTTCAGCAGCTACATGGTGTCTCCCTGACAACTCTCACAATATATCTCTGTTCGGGTTTCCTGCCTGGCTTTACCCTGCAAAACCAGGTGTTATTCTTCATTAAAAGTTTGTTTTTTAAAATATGCTTGGTTGAGTTATCTATGCATGTTTAAAAACTTACTGATGAATCACTAACCACTAACTTTTTATGCTTTTTTTTTCTTAGAATCTTGTTAAACATCTTCCTGAGCAGAATGTACTCCGAGAACTAGCAGAGCTTAAGAATGAATATGATGATCTCTGTGAGCCTGAGCAGTTTGGCGTTGTGGTATGTATTGATCACAAAAGCCTAAGAATATACTTCTCACAAGTAGAAGAAACATGTCAGTTGATTTCTTTTACTTTATAGCTACATAATTAAATATAATATTGACTTAGAAAAAATCTTTACCTATAGCATTGTGGTATTGAAAAGTAAGTATGTTACATCTTAAGTTCACAAAAAACATCAAAGCATCATGAGATAGTCTCTTCAAAAGTAATGATAATTTATGATATTAATACATGCAAAATAGTATGTAATACATTGAATAATTTTTCAGTTCAGATCTGAATGTTAGAATAACCCCCTTGAAAACTTAGGCTGAAATAAAATAATATCTAGGGAAATTTAAAAAAAAACTAGTAACTATTTTTACTGTATATATTGTATCAGAAAAATCACAAGTATTTTATAATATTCTAGAGTGTCAATAATTGATTGAGAGCTTGCACTGTGTTATTTACATCAGGACATATAACTTACAAAAGTACCTCATGTAGTTTTATCATTTTTCTTCATCCACATCATTTTAAATGACAATAAATGATTAAGTATGAAGACTATTGTCATATATCTTACAATACCAGAAGCCTGTTCTTCAAGTAATTATCCAGAAAGAAAGTATAAAGGATATTGAAATTACTTTCTTTGAATAAATCCTACTTTTTTTTCTAGAGCTAGAGACTGAACCCACAGCTTTATGCTTCTTAGGCAAGTGCTCTACCACACAGCTAAAATCCCAACCCCTAAAAGGTAGTTTTTTTTTTTTTTAAGAAAAAAACTCAGTGTTCAGGACTGTGTTTATTTGCTATATGAATGTCTAGTTTACTCAGGCTTCCTGATTTTTTTCCATTTATAAATCCAATTGATGAATATTTTTTTAAATTATTATTTGACCTGTTTTATCGAAAATATTCCATAGTGTTTCAAATTCTTACATGCTAGAGTTCATCAGATTTCTTGCTTCAGTTTTAAAATCTTTTTAATCTGAAACTCTATTAGATAGGAGTATGTTCTTTTTAGTATATATAATAAACATTAGTCCATATTTAAAATTCTTTGATTTTAGGGCATGCTGTTACCTACATTGATATAGAAAGATTTGTCAAATCCTTGAAAAGAAAACTAGACAAGCAAATTTGAGATCAGATAGAACATATAATGGACCTGGGGAACATATTTCTCTTCTTTTTACATCAGATCTGTTCGTCAACTGAACTGGCTCTGTATTATTTATTAACTAGTGGCATTTTAGCAGAGTGCTAAATAATAAAATGTGCAGCCCCAAGTTCACACTTGAAACCTGAGCAGCTCAGATCCATCTTATAATTGAAGCAGGGCTATCCACCATCTGAGATTTCAGCTGCATCATGATGGTTATGAGCTTTACAGTAGGTAAACAACGAAGTTTCTCAGAAACCATTTTTTTTTTCCTCAGTGCAGTTTATCTAAGAAGATGTATTAGTTTTCCAAGCAAGTCCTTCAAGAGGAATATCCTTGGTACCTCACTGAGGAAATGAAATTTGCGGGGGGGGGGGTGGAACATAAAAAGCAATATACCTTCTGAACTAAAGGCAAAAATAGAAAATGGAAGAGAGTTCTTGTTTATACACATAAACATAAATATTTAAGACTGTATGTACATGAATTCTCCATGTTTCCATGTTTACTCTCACTCTATTTTGCTCTATCTCTGCTGGGATGGGGTCAGAAAGAATCTAGGACATTACTAAGTAGTTTATACTATGTAAACTGCCTAAGATTATCAATTGAGACTTATTAAATAAAGTTTAGACACACACTTTTTAAAGATTATATATTGTTCGTTATGTAATAATACTCTTAATAATAATAATAATAATAATAATAATAAATAACCTTAGTCTTTTAAAGTTAAATACACTCTCTAGTGTAAAATTGGCAGTGAATGTTTGTTGAGTTATAAGCAATCTTTTAGACAAAAATGTGAGCCAGACATTTTATAAATATAGAAAAGTAAAATATGAACTAAAACATTATCAAATTAAATTAATCTTGTGAGAATGTACTATCTTACTATTTAACCCTTAAATTTATATCAGCAGCCTAATAGAAATAGACTTTTGGAAAGTACAATCCTTCTCACTAATGAGAGAACCCCCATCTTGGGAACGCTCCTGTCCTCACCTTTCTTCACCCAGTGCCAATGTTATTTACTATATTCATATTAAAATTTATATTTATAACTTCGGTATCAAAACCCTTCAGTGCTTCCCTGACTTCACAAATTAAAATTCAAGCTCTCCATTCTCCTTATGTCTTTCATTCCTTACCATTTCTTCTTTTGTCTGTATATCCCTTCTTCTTTTTTTTTTTTTGAGTCAGAAAAGAAAGGCTATTTATTTTTTATTTATTTATTAAAGATTTCTGTCTCTTNCCACCCACCTCCATCCAGGTCTAGTAAGGTGAGCATCCAAACTGCCTAGGCTCCCACAAAACCAATAGGTGCAGTAGGATCAAAAACCCATTGCCATTGTTCTTGAGTTCTCAGTAGTCCTCATTGTCCGCTGTGTTCAGAGAGTCTGGTTTTATCGTAGGCTTTTTCAGACTCGGGCCAGCTGGCCTTGGTGAGTTCCCGGTAGAACATCCCCATTGTCTCAGTGTGTGGGTGCACCCCTCGCGGTCCTGAGTTCCTTGCTCGTGCTCTCTCTCCTTCTGCTCCTGATTTGGACCTTGAGATTTCAGTCCGGTGCTCCAATGTGGGTCATATATCCCTTCTTTTCAAACTACCACAAACTCTTTCTTGCCAATGGCATAACAAACTTCAGGACCTCCAGAGGCTCTTCTACCTTTAAAGTTGCTTTGTTTTTTTTCTATCACCCAAGCTAGTTTCTAACTTATGGTTTTAAGCTAGTCTCCTGTCTGCATCTGTTTAGTAACCAAGACTGTAGTTACTCAACATTGTTCTATTTGTTGTTTTGTTGCTTTGAGGCCTGAGCCCAGGATCTCCCACATGCCAGGCATGTATTGCAGAATAGAGCTCTGTTCCCCCTCCCCCTCTTTATGCATTCTTTTTGAAGTGTCAGGAAAGGAGATGGCCTATTTTTATTATTAATAGTACTATTACAATGTTACTGATAGCAAAAGCTTACTAAAGTGTTTTATGCTAACACTTTTAAATGGGCCATATTTTAAGTAATATTTTCAATTTGTTCCTTGGAAAACTTCATACTTTTATATAATATATTTTAGTCACTTCTGTCCACTGTTTCCTCCATCAAATTCCTCCAAGTGCTGTCAATTGCCTTGGCAGGTCACTGAGTCTAGGGGTCGTAACCCACCTGGCAGTCAGTTACTCCAGGGTCACGGAGGGGGACTATCTGGAAGAGAATGGGCTAGGAAAGAAGGAGGAGGCCATGCTAAGTTTGTCACAGCCTCCGTTTATTAGAGTCCTGGTTGCTGCTCATATAGCCCCTGGATGAGGGCTTGGGGGGCAGGGCACAGGATCTTGCAGCGTGGTCCAGGTCCTGTAGGCCAGGAGGTCAGGTGATGATTCTTTGGCCATGAAGGCTTGAGTTGACACACCTAGTTCCCTGGATAGCTGGAATGTGAGGAGGGTTCCGCTAACAGATAACAGCTAATTGGGTGTGAGGTAGGTTCTGTCAATAGAAGGATTCTTAACATAATTATGGGTGTGGGGTCCTCTGCAGACTCCCCAGGGTGATGGTTCCTGTAATGATTTCTAGGAGGGAAATGGCTCCTGACAAAGTGCTAACCCTCATCTCCTTCCCAACTTCATGTCTTCCCTATTGTTATCAATAATGCCTGAGTTCATTTTGTTCAGTCTATATGCACAGGGCTGTGGAGTTAGCCTGAAAGGTGTGGGCAATTTACCAGTGCCTTATCAACTCATAGCACTGTGGTTACTTAGGTAATGTCTACACAAGGTCAAACCAGTCAAAGTATTCTTGCTCTCTTATGATTTGTAAGGTAAAGTTTGATACTGTTATTATCTCCGTACTACTGCTGTGGAACTGAGGCAAACCAAACTCCAGTAACTGTTCCAGGGTTGGATAGTAAATAGTAGAATTCAGTTAGAATTCACAGTCAGTGCTTTTAGGCACTGTGATTTACTGAAGAAAGTTGGAGGAGAATATGATGAGATTGGCACTCTAGTCTAGGCACATGTTCCCTATCTCTGCTTTGGGCATTACTATCCCATCTAATTCCAGACAGCCTTATTTCTTGCTTACTACAATTGTGGTGTTTCTCTTTCTGTTTCAATTTTTCAGTCTACTATGGCCTTCTCGTCAAGAAAATAAATCTCACTTGCTGCCTAAAATGGGTGGATAGATGGTTAAATTATAATGTATCACTGACCTGAGGATTCTGTTAATTACTCTCTTTCTGTTACCTCTCATCAGTTTCTTCAGAAGTTGCCACTTGCTCTGTGGCCTTACATGTTATTCACTCTTCAATCACTAACAATTAGAAGTTTGCCTTACATTGTGCATTGAAGTTGATCAATAAAAGTTATTATTTCCTATTCAAAACTCAAATATGCTTCAGATCTACACTCCATCTGTACTGCCATTGCCATAGTCTGGAGAAGCGTAATTATTTGCTGTAATTGTCACCATACACTTAACTGCTTCCTACTTAAACTTTAGCTCTTCTCAAAATCAGTCTCATTTTAATGCCTCTATGTAGATTGTATTTGTATTGCTTATTAGTTACTTCCTAAAACACTAGTGTGATGTGGGATTCCTCTTTGTATGCTGTGAATACCTTTGGTTAATGAATAGAGAATCTGCCTTGGCCTGTGAAAAGTTAGAGTAGAGCTAGGCAGAGAAAGCAAGGCTGAATGATGGGAGAAAGAAGGCAGAGTCGGGAGATGCCATGTAGCTGCTATAGAGAACGTCTAAATGAACCCAAACCTTGCCAGTAAGCGAGAGCCATGTATCAATATACAGATTAATAGAAATGGGTTAAATTAAGATGTAAAAGTTAGCCAATAAGAAGCTAGA